AATCCATCAGATAATTAATCCAGCAAATAATCCGTCAGATAATTAATCCAGCAGATAATTAATCCATCAGATAATCCATCAGAAAATTAATCCATCAGATAATTAATCCAGCAAATAATCCATCAGATAATTAATCCATCAGATAATTAATCCATCAGATAATTAATCCAGCAAATAATCCATCAGATAATTAATCCAGCAAATAATCCATCAGATAATTAATCCATCAGATAATTAATCCAGCAGATAATTAATCCATCAGATAATTAATCCAGCAGATAATTAATCCATCAGATAATTAATCCAGCAGATAATTAATCCATCAGATAATTAATCCAGTAGATAATTAATCCAGTAGATAATTAATCCAGTAGATAACTAATCCAGCAGATAATTAATTCAGTAGATAATTAATCCATCAGATAATTAATCCAGCAGATAATTAATCCATCAGATAATTAATCCAGCAGATAATTAATCCAGCAGATAATTAATCCAGTAGATAATTAATCCAGCAGATAATTAATCCATCAGATAATTAATCCAGCAGATAATCCAGAGGCGGTCTGTTCGGTGAGTTCAGACCGAGCTCTGCTTGCTCTGTTTACTGACTGAACCAGCCGCTGCTGCTGACGTCATTACGCTTTTGCGTGGTGCTGCGTTCAGGACAAACATGGAAAACGCACAACTCTTAAGCCAAACCGGTCGCAATGATGCATTTAGGTACCGAAACCTGGTACCGTTTGATGTTCCGTGAACAGATACTCGGTAGTACCGACAGAATTCGGTACCTATCCCTACTTAAGTTAACTCATAAGTTACACCTATGACTGATAATTTATGCAAATGATATGCATGACGTCATCAACGACGGACCCCATTTATGTTTGATTCTGGTTCTGCGCAAAGAATTTTCCTATGACGTCACTATGACGTCACAGTTCTTTTTTTTGAATTCAGCTGGACCTTGTTGGCATTGCATCACTTTACTCAGTGCATCAGCTCGAGGCTAAGAGGATCTGTTATTAATCAATGAGTTCTACAGAAAGAACTGCAGAAGATACAGCGTTGGACATATTAAAGTGTTCAAATGATCTGTGGGKCAATGTGAAATCAATTCATCACCAACAAGATCAACTTGACAAAAAATACATCGAGGGTTCAAAAACTTWCAATTACCTGTTAGACAGAGCAGCAAAAATCTATGAGYAAAAAGAAACGAAATTGTTTGAATTCATAGATCTGCATATTAAGTATGATAATGAAATGGAGCCGTCACCACATAAATATACATTTAGARMTRTTAAACCGGATGAAAYAAAGATGTTCAATGAGTTGATTGACTTAAYGKGTAAGTTAGATAAGTTAGGTAAAAAAGTTCACAAMGAAGCAAGCAAAGTGAGAGACTTCGAAGACAAAACATGCTTGGCTGAGAAAGAAGAGATTGTTTTTAAAGACATATGTGATAATCTAGATGGTTACAGAGACATAGAATCGAAATATGAAGCATTTGTTAGTGATGACATGTATCTAGATTTGACTGAAGACGAAAAAAAGCTTTTAGAGGAAGACATGAAATTGGCCAAAAAAAGGCATAATTATATAAAGAGTTTAAAGGAATATTTTGACCTGACTAGGGGTAGAGACAATGTATGTGGAAGATATGGCTTGGTAGAAAAATTAAAAATGAGCGAGTTCGTTGAAGCACAGGAAGACAAACAGAAACTCACTGTTCTTGAAGCTGAACTGGGTTTGAGTAAGTTACCTGAAGACAAGTTACCTGAAGACAAGTTACCTGAAGACAAGTTACCTGAAGACAAGTTACCTAAAGACAAGTTACCTAAAGACAAGTTACCTATACAAGTTACCTAAAGACAAGTTACCTAAAGACAAGTTACCTAAAGACAAGTTACCTGAAGACAAGTTACCTGAAGACAAGTTACCTAAAGACAAGTTACCTAAAGACAAGTTACCTAAAGACAAGTTACCTACAGACAAGTGACCTACAGACATGTGACCTACAGACATGTGACCTACAGACATGTGACCTACAGACATGTGACCTACAGACATGT